TGGGGTGGGGGGAGGGGAGGTGGGGGCTAAGGCTAAGGGGCTAGTGTGCATATAGCTCGGGGAAGGCTGCTTCTCTGGTGACCCCCGATCCCCCTACTTGTACCTGACAGCTCCTGTCACAGAACACCTGTGGCTGTTTGTATCTTGGTGTTCCTAGAATCTGTCTTCCCCATGATGGACTGAGTGTGAGTTTTAGGCCTGGTGGGGGTGTAGGGATTTGCTGTGCAGCCAACATGCCGTATTTGGGGCATAGCCAGTGCTGGACATTCCCCCAGCAGCCCCTGCTAGCCTGCCCACACTCTGGCTCTTGTACTCAATGACTGATCCACAGCAAGCGGAGGGGTAATGGGTACTTCTGAGCCCACTTTGCTGGCCATGGTGCCTGTTAGGTTTCAAGAAGAGGCACAGCTAACTGCGTCTGTACTTCCAGTTGCTGCTTGGAACCCTAACAGGAATCCCCTACCTCCCCCACCTCCCCCACACCCGGCTCCAGGTGGATCCAGGCGGGTTGGCTGTGCTCCCTCAGCGCCCCTGCTAGGGCTGGGAAGCCGAGTCCTGTCTTCTTGCTGGGTTCACATGATTAATTTTCCAACCCAAGTTGGCTGGCTGACTCCAGCCTGAGGCTGATTTGGGGATTGGCCTTTTTGGAGCCTGAGGGCAACCATCTGCTCTCTTTTCGTCTATGTGGGCTTCTTCCAGAGAGCAAGTCTCTTTTGGGGGTGGGGGTGGGGGTGGGGCTTTTTGATCAACTGTGTTTGAAGTATGATGTGGCCCCTTCCTCTTCTATGGCCTCTGGGGATTTCCCCAGCCTTCCTCTACCAGTGGAGTGTGACTTGGAGCCCTGAGACTCCAAATCTGTCTGTTTTAGGGCATCTAGGCAGGAGGACCCCAGTTCCTGTGGTTCAGAGCTGACTGTAGCAGAAATGCTGATGGGGCGGTATTTAGCTCAGTGGTTCCTTGCCTGCCTCAAAAGTGTGAAGTCCTGAGTACTGGAAATAAAACAGAACAAACATGCTACTAGAAGTACCCATGGTGGGTGTGAGCTGCAAAGCCACAAAGGAGTGGAGTTGATTGCCCCCCAGCTGGGGAGACAGGTGTGTGGCCCCTGCCAATGGACACACAGAGGGGACAAGGTGAGGGACTCAGAAAGGAGAGCCCCACTCTAGGCGTGGGTATGAGGCTATTTTGTGTGTATTTCCTGCTGTCCCCCAGAGCTGGCCACACCAGATGTGCAGAGCCAAGTGGGCCCTCCCCTCTGTTATGGGTGTCCCATCCCTTGCTTTCCATCACCCCAGGTACGTTAGTGTCAGGCCCCTTGCCTGTGGAACCTGTCGCCTTTGTTTCTTTCTGGGTCTTTCAGGTCTCAGGGCAAAGGCCCCCAGCCCCCGCAGCACACCTGCAGGTCTTTTGTTTCTCCTCCACTAAGAAGGCAGGGCTTTATCCTAGACTCACACCCTAGGCTTTGCTGAGTACAGACATCTCCATCTTCCACTGGCTCAGAGACTGGGAGTGGCCCAAAGTGCTTACCAGTTTGGGCTTTGTGCTGGGAATCACCTTACAATCCATCCTCGACCTGTCCTCCCCTACAGGTACCCCCAAAGACTTGGCTCTGTGCACTCCTGCTGGCGCTGTTGGGGTTTGCGCTGGGCTGGGCCGGGCCACGCTCCTGCAGCATCCCCGACGTGCTTCACCACTATCGTGCTGTCATCTTTGAGGACCTACAGGCCGCCATGAGGCAGGTCGAGCCAGAGGCCCGAAAGACAGGGCTAGGCTCCAGACCCCACCGTTTCATTCAGAAAAACCCGATTGGGGCTAGCGGAGGGCGGGGACATCCTGAGGTCTCCTGCAGTGGTCAGGAGGTATGGAGGGGTTTCCCACCCCTGCCCCCCTGCTCCTTCCCTTGGTGCTTCCGTCCCCCCAGCTTTCCTCCCTTCCCTCCCCAGGAGCACAGTATCCTACTGTCCATTAAGTCTCTGGGTCGGACTCTGCGTGGGGCAGTAGCAGGGGGCCGCCGTGGAGCCCTGGAGAAAGCCGTGTGGACCGTGGCCGTTCGTACGGAAGCAGTGATGCGCCGCCACTGCTGGACGCTGCGCCAGGTGTGCGCCCCTAAGTGCATGCCGATCCAGACCAACCCCTCCACCACGGGCTCCCCCTGCCCGTGGCCTATAGGCTGGGGCTGAAGTAGGGCCCCCTAGCGGGGTGGGGACTGGGTACGAGCTGCGGGGGGCGCGGAGCACTCTGACTGAGCGCATCCCCGACAGCAGAGTCGGAGGCCCAGGACGCGCCCTGCCTTGCATCGCGGCGGCGCTCGGAGGCAGCTCCTGCTGCGTGCCCTGGACACAGTCGCCACCTGCTGGGAGAAACTCTTCGCGCTTCGCGCCTCGGCCTCCAGGAAATCTTAGCAGCCTGCGCCCCTGGTGCTGTATGGGGTTGGGGGGAGTAGCGGCGGAGACAGAACGGGCCTCATTTGACTTCTGATGTTGACCTTGACCCCTTCCTTGGCGCTGCTCGCACTCACCGAAGGATCCAGGACTTGGAGAAGCAAGCCTTTAATAAACGGGGCTGCAGGCCCCACTCTTACCCCTTCACCTGCCTGACTGCACCTGGGCCGCCCGGGTTGGCCCCTAGGCCGGGAGGAGCTAGGCCAGTGCTTCCCATTTCCCCGCAGCATCTGGGCGCGGGCAGAGCCGGTCCTCCCAGCCTCGGGCGACAGGGGGCGCGCTCTGGACGTTGGTCGCGGCCCAGGAGGTTTCCCCCTCCTTGCGCCCGCAGGTTGAGGGTGTTCTAAAGCGTCATGCGTCCGTCCTAACCCCACTCAGGACGAAGCAGGAGGGTGGAAGTGGAGGGGAGGGGAAGGCTGAGCTTGGTGGATTCAGAGCAAAACAACCGGATAAAGGAAACAGGCCTGAGGGGAAACCGGCCCTACCGCCCTGGCTGAGCTTGGCCAGGCCATTTCCTGCTGCCTGAGGGTGGCCACTCGGCAGCAGGAGGGGGAGGGGTCCAGAGAAAGACCAGTCTTCCTTCCAGCCTGGCTGGCCTCTAATATCTGCACAGGTCTGGCTGTCTGCCCTTCCCTGATCCTGGCCCATAGTTGTGGGTTGGGCACCTGCCTTCACCTCCTGGACAGGAGGAGTGGCCCAGGGGCTGAGGCAGACCTTGCCTGTGCCTGTGGGACAGGCAAGCAGGAGACACAGAAAGCCTTAGTGGGACAAACTGCATGAGCAACAGCCAGCCACGAAGCTGATCCTAATCCTGTTTCCTGGGCACATACTGGGTCTGTCTACCAGGAGCTGTTGTCCCTGCTTCACAGGCGAGGATGCTGAGGCTTGGGGTGGGGGTTGTTCAACTCACACAACCAGCAACTGTAACTGACCCAGGCAAAAGTGGGGCTTCCTGGCTTTGGTGTGCATTTGGGTTCCTCCAGTGTTCGGCCTCTCAGGCCACGTCTGAGCACAGGCTGGGAACTCTAGGTCTGCCTTCTGCTTCTTGCACACCATGAGGTACTGTGTGAGGGGCTGGAAGGGTTCCAGGAGGGAACCAAGTACATGGACCTGTCCAGAGGCAGCGAGGGTGTGGACATTCTTCAGCAAAGGAGGCTTTTGAGAATCCTGCTGCAGTATGTGGATGGGAGGCAAAACAGGAAGGGGTGACCAAGGTCCTGGTCCCAGGGTCTGGGTGGGTCCTCATCCTGAACCGTGGAACACTGTGGACCTGGACTGAACATGACTCCTTTCAGGGGCTCTGATGTGCTAGATGTAGCCAAGCATCCAGGAGAGAAAAAGGCACAATTTTGTTGGACCATAAGGTGTAGGGCAGCAGAATATGATGGGGGGGTGGTCAAAATGAGGTCTGGAGAAGGTAGGGAAGAGCCCTGAGGTGGGGAGGTTTCTTCTGGGTGCAGCCTAGATACGTAGGCCCTCCATATAGGAGCCCAGGCACCTACCTTCCTGACTGCTTGCATTCGGCCCTTTCCATCTCCAGGGCCCATGGGGAGAGCATTTCTGTGAAGTAGGCATCTGGGCATGGCCTCCTGGGTGTCCCATAGCCGCTACCCACCCACAGTGCTCCCTTCTCTTTTTCAGAGTCATCAGGGCTGAAGAGTGGGTGGGCAACAGGGCACCCCTCAACCTCCTGACTGAGGAAGGATCAAACAAACCACCTCCTCACAAGCTGGAGGAGGGGCCCAGGCCTGGAGTTTTGGAGACATATGTTGGTGGCTGAATCCTGGGGAGAGAAGCTGTATCCTGGTCCCATTTTTCCTCTATAGAGCTCTTGCCAGTGTTAGCCTTGGAGGTGCCCTTCAACCTACCGCAGGGTCTTTCCTCCTGCAGGATGTGGGCAGGTTCAGAGTCACACAGAAAGGCTAAGTAAGAGCTTCGGAGTCACAGAGACTAGAAAGATCAACAAGTGCCTATGCAGACCTGAGACATGAGGTCTTTAGGCCTAGCGCGAAGACCCTAGTAGAGGCTCCCCTGTACCCCTGTAGAGCTGCAAGAAGGCAGGGCGTGTCTTCCTCACTTGTACCCAGCACAGGCCAGCGTATGAGCTGAGCTGCTCCTGTCTGTTGACTGGAACTGGCTGAAACCAACCTGGAGATGCAGCAGGACTGAAACACAGCGCTGGGGCTGTGCGCTATATTGTCCCAGGCCACAGTCCCCTCCGTGAGGCTCAGCTGTTTCCACAGTGGCAGGGGCTGTGGCCCAGAAGGAGAGGGCTGTGCCAGGGTGGCAGATGGAGCCCGAGGGACTGGCTGGGTTGTGCAACTTCCTGCAGCCCAGGAGCCAACCCCCAACCCCTTGTACAGAGCTGGGGGCGCGGCTGGTAGACTTTGAAGGGAGCCTGGGTCCCATGGCCTCCTAGACTGGGAGCCTTTGAAAGAACATCTGGAACTCCAGTGACAGACAAGCTAGTCTGTTTGCAAAACCAAGTTAATCCTGACTTTGCCACTTGTGTGTTCCCTACTCCTGCCCCACTTCCACCTCCACAGGAGGTGAAGGCTGCAACATCTCCTGAGCAGGGGTAGCACCTTATCCCCACACCACCCTCCCCGCCCCGCCGGAGTGTTGCTGAATGGAGTGAGGAGAGGGCAGGAAAGATGGGGAGGTCTTGAGTGCCCTATGTGTATGAAGCCTCAGCTGGGCAGGCAGGGTGCGAGACAGTGGAGAAGCTGGGACTGCACCATACACAGGGAGGAAGAGGAGGAAACACCTGCTCCCAGACCTGGAGGATGCGTGGCTTTGTGGGCCCTGGGCGCTTTGCGTGTGAGCATGAGTGTGGAATCCCAAGACCAACAGGTGTGCAAGGAGGTCGCCTGCCCCTGCTGTGGCTGGCCCGGAAACAAACAAGTCCCCCCACCCCCCCACCCCAGGAAGCACATGCTCATTGGGAGGTACCAGGTGCTGAAGCCTATTGTCCCTGTGAGTGGCCTTCAGGACCCTGGGGGAGGCTCAGGGACAGCTCCCATCCTGCCCCCTCCCCAGGAAAAGATTCAGCTTTGTAAACACAGAACCCCCACTCCCCGCAAACTCCATTAAATCCTGAACTAGCAAGGAGGCTGCACCTGCTGTGGGAAGTGAGTTCTTGTTGAGGGAGAAATGGAGAGGTCAGAGCCCTGGGGGCCAGTGCGGCATCATGCACTGTTGGGGAGGTGGGATGTCCTGGGGTCACTTTCTGGCTATGAGGACAGGACTTCTGCTCTTGGCTGTGAAGGGGACACCAGCCTGAGGTATCCTGGGGTACTCGCTGGCATCCTCTCAGCTTGCTGCCTGTTTCCCCATAGTCCATATGTGATAGTTGTGGCTCAAGGGGGAAGAGGCCAGGACTCCCTGCCAGGTGACCAGGCCCTGTCCTTGAGCAGCCCCTGGCGCCCCCTGCCCGGCATGAGGCCAGGGGTCGGGGCTGTGGCCCGAGATAAGCGGCACTTCCTGCACTTGCTCCCAGCCCCAGCCCTGTCCTTCCTGTTTTCTCGGGCAGCCGGCTAGCGGGCAGGCAGGCTTCGATGGGGAAGACTGGGCGGAGTCATGGAGGCGTGGTTGGACGTGGGATACCGGGTGGGGTCAGAGGGGACAGGGCATCTCTGTGACTGCTTGTGGGAAGGGGAGCCAACTGGGCTGAGCAGCTGGAGGAGCAAGTGTGGTCCCTACTCCGTCAGTCCAGCCCTTCCCGGGCCCTGGCCCAGAACCCTCCCGGTGTGAAGCAGACAGCCTGGAGAAGTGCTGGGTAGGCTGGATGGAGCAACAGGCCAGTCTCTGCAGAACAAACAAGATTTGCTAGGCTCAGGATGAGCTTTGGTTTGGGGAGCCTGTTGAGGTTGGAGGTCAGCCATTCCAGACCTGGGGTTTCGGGTATATTTTTTTTATTGGTATATTTTATATATGCATAATGATGACATTCATCATAGGGAATCTGTGCCTGAACGTATAATCTATTTGGCTTCTTTTTAACCCATTCCCCTCCCCTCCTTTCAACCCCTCTTCCCCTTCTTATTTACAAAAGCTTTGTTTCCATTTTTTCTTTCTATTCTGTTTTTTTTTTCTTGTCCCTTCCTTCCTTTCCCACTACCCCCTCCCCTGTTCCCCTTCTCATTTGAACATTTTCTTTCTGGGTACAAATAACCTGTTTTTCAGACTTGCTCATTAAAAATATGAATGTATGTATTGTTAATAAAGATTCATCCACGCTGGGTACAGTAGCCTGTGGCTGTAATCCCAGCACTCAGTAGGCAGAGGCGGGAGGATTGCTGTGAGTTCAAGGCCAGCCTGAGCTACATAATGAGTTCAGGGCCAGCCAGAACTACAAAGTGAGACTCTGTCTCAAAAACAAGACAAAATAAAAAATAAAATTTAACTTTGTATATAGCTGGGCATGGTGGCACACACCTAGAATCCCAGCACTCAGGAGGCTGAGGCAGGAGGATCGAGGTGAGTTCAAGGCCAACTGGGCTACATAGTGAGACTCTGACTCTAAATAAATACATAAATAATAAACTTTGTGGGCTGGGGATATAGCTCAGTGGTGCTGCCGCCTGCCTCTCAAATACAAGGACCCAAGTTCAATCCCTGCTACCAAAACAAAACAAACAAAAAAACCCACTTGT